GGTATCCACAACTTCCCTGGGCAACTTGTTCCAGTGCCTCACCACTCTCACAGTAATGAATTTCTTCCTAATATCTAATCTAACCCTGCCCTCCATCAGTTTGAAGCCATTCCCCCTTGTCCTGACGTGATATGCCCTGGCAAATAATCCCTCTCTAGCCTTCCCCTAGGCTTCCTTCATGTCCTGGAAGGCTGCAATTAGGACATCCCAAAGCCTTCTCTTTTCCAGGCTGAACAATCCCAATTCTCTCAGCCTTTACTCATAGGAGAAGTGCTCCATCTTTCTAATCATCCTAGTGGCCTCCTCTGGACTCATTCCAACAGGTCAATGTCCTGCCTGTGCTAGAGACTCCAGAGCTGGGTACTCAATATTGAACTATTTTAAATAACAAGCTGTATTACTTCTAAGCAGGCAGAATGTGAAGCCTTTTCTCCCTGCCTTCCTCAAAGGTTCCCACTGCCACAAGAGACAGGTAGGATGATGCCTAGGCTCTTCCAAGCAACACACAAGCGATTAACCAAGTTCAGAAGACAAATATTATACACCAGAGGAAGAACATGAATAACATGCCACTCAACTAAAAGTAAATCCTAGTATTCCAAGGAAAATGTACAAAATAGGAATCAACTGTTTCATGTGATGCTTTTTTTTCTGCAAAGCCTCTTCCCTGCTCTGCTTTTTATTAATGAAGACACGCACATGAAGTAATTCCCCTCATTAATCAACCTCATTCTTTTGGTTTCTTCTCACTTCGAGTGACAACTCTCCATTTGGGATGTCACGTAGCAGTGTAGCTGAGACTGATTTTTAGGGTGGAATGAGTAGCAGAGGCAGATGAAATTCTCAAGGAACAGAGACTTTGGCTTCAAAAGCCCTGTGCAGTAGAAGGGAAGAGGGTCAGGAGTGGATTCTGTTGAACCACAAATGCAGCATCTCATGAGGGAAGAGGGAAAATATCATGTAGGAGGACAGCTGAGTAGTTTGAAGGCAATTATTGAAACATCCCTGTGTAGGGCAGGGAAAG